GAATGGAATTGCTAGATTATATGGTAAATCTACATTTTGCTTTTTGAGGAACTGCCAAACTGTTTCCCAAAGTGGTTGTCCCATTTTATAGTCATACCAACAATGCTAGGGTTGAAATTTCTCCTTATTCTTGATGAGACTTATCTGTTTTATTCTAGCCATTCTAATGAGTATGAAGTGGTATTTTCCATAATGACTAGCAGTGTTAAGCATCCTTTCATGTGCTTATTGGCTACACACACACACACACATACACACACACAAAAAAACACACACATTCAAATCCTATTCAAATCCTTTCCTCAGTTTTCAAAAGGCTGTATTTTTTTATATTTTTATTTTTTAGTTTTTTAGGTGGACACAATATCTTTATTTTTATGTGGCACTGAGGATTTAACCCAGTGCCTCATTCATGCTAGATGAGCTCTCTACCACTGAGCCACAACCCCAGCCCCACAATAGGTTGTAATTTTAATGTAAGTTTTTTTTTAATTCATTCTGGATACTAGACCATTATTAGATATATGATTGGCAAACATTCTGTTTTTATTTTGGCTTCATTTTCACTTCCTTGATAGTCCCCCTCTTTTGGGGGGGGGGGCACTCCATCACTGAGCCACATCCCCAGCCATATTTTTGTATTTTGTTTAGAGACAGGGTTTCACTGAATTGCTTAGTGCTCGCCATTGCTGAGGCTGGCTTTGAACTTGTAATCCTCCTGTTTCAGCCTCCAGAGCCACTTGAAACACACAAAAAAATTATTTTTGGTCAGGTTAGTGGTAAGAAAACTTTTCCACTTCCAACTGGGGTTTATTTGAATTTTCCACATCCAACTAGGGTACATTATGAATCTGCAAATTAATTGAGAGAATGTTTTCTATTGTGCTTTTGATGCCAATGAGACTGGGCTGTCTAACTTCATAGCAGCTAAATTTGCAGGAAGCTCTCTGGGAGATGTTGTGGTGTGAACTGATAAATACAACCAATAAGAGGGTAAATTATAAGTTATAGGTTAGTAAAAAATATAGATTATAGGTATAAGATTTTGATAAGTGAGATAAGACAATTATAAAGCAAAAACTGTTATAGACAGGCCTAAGACTCCATTTTGCTGCCTTCTGTAAAAATTGTTAGAAGAGCTGTTTCTGAGAAACTGAAATTAAAGCTGTTTTCTTATAAAAATTGTCTTTCTGTACTTTGTACCCTACAAATTGTACCCTACTCAGGATGCAGCGGTGGTCGGTAGTCATGGTGAGCTACATCCTGGGTGTGAATGCCCTTGTAGGTCTGCATGACTTTGCAATAGATTCTCACTCCTCCGACACCGCCTAAATTCAGGATGCAACTGTCTAGCACCTGATGAACCCAGGACTGTGGGCAACTGAACTGCAAAGCTAATGCTTTTTTTTTTTTTTTTTTAGCTTCTGGCTTGCTTGCTGACTGGAAAATTCCAGTCCTGCCTAGAGCCCACAGGTTCCACTTATTAATTTCTATGATTGGCTAACTCACATGGCGATAAGCAAGTCACTACTAAGTTGTGGTTTTGTCCTTATATTCTCTTTGGATGGACCAGGAAGCTGCTATCCTCCCACAGAGCTTGAGTCTCCAAGGTGGGTGACAGTCCCTGGCCAGGTAAATAAAGCTCTCTTTTGATTTGAAATTTGGACTTAAAAGTGCTGAGGCGTCTCCCCATAACATGAGAGTTAATGGTAATTGTATTTTCTGGTGACTGTTCTTTGGTCAGATAAAGGCATTTCATATATGATTTCCTTCTGCATTGTCTTTAGCTCAAATACTTTTATTTTAAAATAATCTTTATACCAACTCTAGGAGTTTTATCAGGTCTACATAAGTTTAACTTTTCTCCTCCCCCTTCTCCTTTTCTTTCTCTTCTTCTTTGGTTGGCATGCTTTGGGTTGATGTGTAAGAAACCATTACTTAATCCAAGTTCACAAAGATTTTTATCCATGCTTTCTTATAAAAATTTCCTAGTTTTAGTGCATACATTAAGTTGTTCCATTTATTTTGAGTTGATTTTTGCAAATGGTGTGAAGTAGGGGTCCAGCTTCATGCTTTTGCAAATGGGTACCTTGTACCAATACCATTTGTTGTAAAGGTGACTTCCATAATGAATTATTTTAGCACCACTGTTGAAAACCAATCAACCATTTGTGTTTTATTTCTAGACCCCTAATTCTAATCCTGGGTCCATAAGTCTATGAGATGACCAGGGGTGCAGGAAAGAGGGAGCCATAATTTTCAGACGCAACTGAGGCAGAAGATGACTGGATTGAACATCTGTCTCTGCCTCTCCAGTGACCCCAACAGCCTCCTTCCCTGTCTGGGCAAAGGGCCACATAGGTAGGCAGGGCCATTCCCCCTTACAGGGTGAGAACTCAGAGAGAAGCGTTTCAACATTGCCCTTCCCGCTCGCTGTTCTCAGAGGCAGGAACGTCAGATGCCCCAGCACCAATGCGCTTGTGGCGCGCGCACCTGCTCAGCCAAGTGCGCCTGCGTAGGTTTCGCTTGCGCCTGCGCATAACCCACTTTCTGTTTTTTTTTTTTTTTTCCTGAGGCGTGAAGGTTGGCTCTCGCAGACTGGGGTCTTTCGTCGACGGTTGACCGAGGCGGGGAAACTTGAGGGTTCAAGTTGTGTGTAATATTGTAGTGGGGGCGGTCAAGAAGGGGAAACCCTTGCGTTGGCTCTAGTTATAAACCGCTGCAGGTCCCCTGGGTGGGGCAGGAACCTCGCCGCCTCTCCCGGCAAGGAGAGGCCCAAACTTGCCCTTCTGGCTTCTACCTGAGGCAACGGTCTTTGGGGACGGAAGTGTACCACACAGCCGCTTCACTAAGCCACTCAGGTCCAACTGGAAGTAGGAATTGTGTGATCCAGGGGAGGATTTCTCACTTTAAAAATCAGTTTATTTTGATCGCGACACTTGAAGATGTAATGGCCCTTGTAGGCGCCCTTTTGTGTTTAGGATATAATTTGTATTGAGAAAAAGTGGCATGACTTCTGTTTTGGTTCCTAGAATAGAAGAACCCAGAGTATTTTCAGAAGGGTCTATTATATCTAGTTTCAAGTCAAGATAGAGAAACAAAGCAGAGGCAGTCCCTCACCTCATGTTTCCCAAGTTTTATTTTTACAATGATATTTGGAAGTTAATATTTACCTAAGTCCGATTTGCATCATTCCTTACTGGTGTTTATGTCTCTATGTATTATTGGGTAGGGAATTTGGAGCCGAAATGATCTTAATTTTAAGTTTGTATCTTTGCTTTTCACTCATGCAGTGGGCAAGTAGTTATTGAATTTGATTGAAATATATTAGGAGGCTATACTTGGAAAAATCACAAAAGCAAATACGTTGCAAAAGAAAAAAAATTACAGGAAAAAAAACCCTTTATTTCGTTTGTTGACATTGCAAAAACTGAGTGGAAATTTATCTTTATTTATTTATTTGAATATTAAGTGAGGAGTTAGTCTTTGATAGTCTCAAACTAATAGCCAAAGCATAGTGTCATGAAGTGCAACACAGACTATGGTCTCCTATGGCTAGTTCTGTACTTTATATTTCCTACCTGTGAGTTTGCCAATGCAGTAATCCATTTATCTGATTCAGAATTATGGTATGTCCTTAATTCTGAAGTAAATTGTATAGACAATATGAAAATATGCACATATTAGGAAGCAAGGTTATAATTATTTTGAACAGAGCTGGAAACATAAGTTTTGTTGCAAATACTTATTCAGAAGCAAAGGACTCCCTAAAATGTTTACATTATCAGATTTCAATGTAGCTTTCAAAGATAATTTTCATAATTAATATGCTGGGAATTTATTTTTGTTACAATATGAGTTACAGTGTTCTTTCTTTGAAGGTTTGGTCAAACATTCATTTTGTGAATGTAGAATGCAAAAGAAGATTATAGACTGATATAGAAAAAAATGAAGAGAAACTTAAATGAAAATTCAACTCGAAGTACAGCAGGTATTGAAAACTTCATTTTTGAAGCTTCTTTATTTTGTATATGCCATTTAAAGCTTGTGTAGTTTGTAGGTGAAACATTTTGGAAGGAACTTTAAGAAAGATGAAACATTGAGTCTTGCTTCTTTTTAGGTCCAAAGAGGTAAAGTAAAACTTACTCAACTAAAAGTATTTAGTGACAGAGGTGGGAGTAAAATAAAAACGTAGATTCACTCTGATTCTTCTGCAGATCCTATGTGCTTGAGTTGTTCTTTGCTTTTAAGATAAAAACAACTATATAGATCTATTTTTAGTTATATTTGTGACTGACTTGTTAAAAATATTTCCAGAAATACATATGTTTTCTAAGAGCTATTATTTCTATTTTCCTAACTTATTAGGTAATATAAGGACAGGACAAAAATGGTGAGAACCAGGTCAAAGAATCAATATGATGCACAATGAAGATAATAATAACTATTATTTATGGTGAACATTTTTAGACATTTAATTATTCATATTAATTTATTTAATTCCTCCACCAACCCTTTAAAAATAGATTATTATTATTGTCCCTGTTTTTCCTATAAGAAACCAAGACACAAAATGGTTAAACAAGAAATCTATTAAATGGTAGAACCAGGATGTAAACCTAAGAATGTGACTCTAGGGCTCATATCTTAATCATTATGTTATTCTCCATCTCAGTTTGTGTCATATTGGCACAAAGAGTTGAAGGAAATTGCCCATGTTTATACTTTGAAGTTGTAATCCAAATATATAATTATTACCTAGGTAGTCTCACTGAAGAGCTCACATAATTTAGTATTCCATTAGAAAGTTTTAGAGTCAGTATTCTGTAGTGTAGTGATCGCAGATAGCTAGATGATGGTCTAGTGGCCAGAGATCTGAACTAAGATTTAGGAAGCTTGGGTCCTATCTGGGTTCTTCCAGATAGTTTCTTGGAAGTGATAGGCAAACTTTTTGGACTTCTTTTCCTCTGAGTTTCCTTATAAGATTTAAAATCTATATATTGTGACTTGTGGCCTGACTTGAGATCCTATTTCTGCTACCTTAGTAAGTAGAGTTAGTTTTTTTTTCTTTTTTGTTTGGATTTGATAGTATCTCTCTCTAAGGCATTCTCAAAATTACATATAAAAATATCATTACAGACACTGGGGGTGCAGACTTTGGGTTCCAGACCAAATATGTTGAAATAAAATTTTATAAGAAAGGGTTTATGGTCTTAGTACTTGAGGTTAAGCAGAATTCTAGTTTAAATCTAAGTCAAACTAAACTGGAGAACCATACCCTAAAAGATGTGCTGGTATTATCCAAAGAGTGATTGGGGTTTTGAAAAACATGGTTCAGTGACCTCTGTTGTACACCATGGATTTTCTACAGTTGATAGGGTAATAGGTAAGCATATGAGAGAAATAAGGAAAACAGAAAGTGGAATGAGAGAAGAAATGGGAATAATTTCCAAACAGGAGGAGTTAAAGCAATGTTAAGATAGTACAAAAAAGTACTTTTTAGAGAGATAAATGAAGCTATTTAGGATTTCAAAAAGAATGTAAAAACCAATTCAAGGGCATAGAAATATGCCTATATTAAGTATATTAACATATGGAAGTAGACATTAAAATTGTGCATTATAAGTATTCTATAAGTAGATCTGATTATGTAGTAATTTATTTTCTGTTATGTACTAATTTATTGGTATATTCAATGTAGGCTGTTTGCCTGTACCATTGTTCAATCAAAAGAAGAGGAATAGACAGCCATTAACATCTAATCCACTTAAAAATGATCCAGGTATCAGTACTGCTTCTGACAGTTATGATTTCCCTCCAATACCAACAGGTAAGAAAAGGAGTAAGGTGAAATATTTCAGGAAACAAGAACTGGGATTGTAGAAAATTGCACGTTTTCTTTATAATGAGAGTAGAAAGATTTTTTTCTTCTTTTACTATCCAAATACAGAAATATCTTGGCTTTTCTTTATCATTCTGATACAGGAGTGTGAGTGTCTCTCTACAAGGGTTGCTTAGCATTTAAATGGAGTATCTTAGATTTGTTTTAATGAAGTAGTAAACTACATTGCAACATTTTTTCCTTTTTCAAACAGATATAGATTTTTGTGATCTGTACATTTGGTAATAAAGAATGGAGAAACTCAAGTTGCCTCAGGAACAGGGATAAGTATGCATGGAACACAGGAAAAAATTAGATTTTAGGAAGGGTAGAAGCCCAGGAATTTTTGGTGCTTGGTTCTGATTTCTTTTGTTTTTGCCTTTCTTAATTGCTGGTTCTTTACTTTCTGCTATGGTGTGAAAATTCATATATTGAAACTTAATCAACAATGTGATAGTAGTATTAAAGGATGGGGGTCTGTAGAAAGTGATTAAGTCATGAAGGTTTTGCCCTCATGCATGGGATTCGGGACACACACTGTGCATGTTTCTGAAGGAGCTTTTTACTTCTTCTATCATGTAAGAGGTGCCATCTGTCAGATACCTAATCTATTGGTGTTTGATATGGGATGTCCCAACCTCCATAACTGTTCAAAAGTAAGCTTCTATTATTTCTAAAATACCCAGTAAAGGTATTTTGTTTTAGCAACCTAAATGGACTAAGGCACTCCTATCCAGTTTGTTTTCTTATAGTTTCAACTAGCACATGAACCATGAACTAAGTTGCCATTGCTAGGAGTTTACATAATCTTTTAGTTCTAGCTTTTAGAGGTAATTGATTGACTGTCTTCTGTATCTCTTAATTAAGTCCTGGAGGCAGGGAAGGGAGGCTTTGGTTCATTTTATCATTTAAGCAAGACCACTAAAATCCTGGCTTAGCTTCTAAACCAGTTAGCTGTGGTGGTGAGTGCTGGGAGATATGTTTGCCAACTTTGTACTTCCCTCTGGATGAAGGCTTGGAAAGGCAGACATTTTAAGGTATATTTGGTGCAAGATGGCTGTATACATTTAAACTTGATAGATACTAAAAATTATTAATAGAATATTATGCAACTAGAATTTTTAAAGATCTTTATATACTTGTGTGAGTATATATACATGTGTATATATATATACATACTTGTATTGCATATATAATATATATATACTATATACTTGTATATGTAACATACAAGTATATATGTTATATATATTATATACATAAGTATATGTGTTATATATTACAAGTATATATAATACTATATATAATACAATATATCATAAATAATATATAATATATATTGTACAGAATATATATTATATATACTAATATTATGTATAAAATACATATTATATTACTAGAATTATACTATATTCAGTGTGTATATATGTATTATATGTTATATATAATATAATGTATTATATGTATAATTGTATTGTTAATTTATTATTTTCCCATAGACCTTAATGTAGCTCTAAAATGATTTTTTCTTTCATGTTAGAGGAATTCGAGGTATAAAGTTTCTATTATTCCCATTTTTATGTATAGAAAATTAGAAATTCACATGGTTAGACACAAGTCAGCATTTATCTAGTCATCCTCTATCATTTAAAAAAATTTCTACTATTCCTCTAAAGACTAGGAATGGAACCACCATTTCTTAGTATTTTTCCTTAAGAATTACAGTTACCATACTGTAGTGAGACATGTATAATCATGTTTATAGCAGCACAATTCACAATAGTCAAATTATGGAACCCACCTAGGTGTTCATCAGTGGATGAATGGATTAAGAAAATGTAATATATATATGCATGTATATATGCATGCAGTGAAGTTTTATTCATCCACAAAATAAAAATGAAGTTATGCCATTTGTAGGGAAATGGATGGAACTTCAGAACATTATGTTAAGCCAAATAAATCCAACCCAATTCAGTATGTCAAGGGTCATCTGTCTTTTCTCATGTGGAAGCTAGAGAGAAAAAAGGAAAATAATGTGTGGAATATGTGTATGTAGTGGGGGTGGAATCTCATGAAAATTAAAGGGAAATCAGTAGAGAAGAGGAAAGGGACCATGGAGGAGGAGGAAGAGTGGGAAAGGGGAAGTATTGGGGATTGATAGTAGCCAAATTATGTTGTTACATTGTATGTATTTATGAATATGTAACAATAAACCTCACCATTATGTACAACTATAATGTACCAATAAAAATATGGAAAAAATAAAAAAAGTTCACCACCACTTAAATTTTTTTCTAAGTAGCATGAATGTTGACCTTGAAAACTAATAAGTATGAACTACTTCATAAGGAAATGTTCATTTTACTGAATTCTGAACTCTTCAAGCTCTGACTGAGATTACTATTTGTCATAGAAAGATCTTACACTGGATAAGGAAAAGTACTACATCAGTGTTTTCCAAATTTTTGTCTTGCCTCAAGAGTTGGGCTGAGATATAACCAATCTGTAAAAAAAAGAAATAGAAACTAGAGTATAATAGAAAAGATCAGTGTGTGACATACATAATAAGGATAATATTTGATGGCGAAATTTTGTTATGTTCTCTTATCCTCTTTTTGTTTGCCTCTGTTCATCTCTCTTAACACACATTATGTATGTGTCTGTTATGGATTATGATGATGTATTTCTTGCTGTGGGGTGGAATAAAAAATTGGGATAGACTGCATTTATGTTATAGAGTATAAGAAACAATATTAGAATTTTTATGCTACAAAGTATAAGATTCTATATTAGAATTTATTATTTTTGCTTACAGTACAAGGGGGAGGAAAGATATCTATGAAAATCAATAAGGAAGGCTATTGGCAAATTCAACAATAAAGTGCTATTGAAAAGGATTCCTTTCTCTTAAAGTTTTTACATTTCCCAAGTTAAATAATAAATATGAATTAGTTATTTTGAACAATGTTACCTATTTTACTTTTGTTTGTGTTCTTATTGAGATTGGGCCTGGGAGGCTATGAATCAAGAGTGGGCTCCTTTAACAAAAACAATGAACACAAGGTATGTGGAGAAAAATAAAAGCTAATAAATGTGTGTCTGATGCCATTTTTCTGTGTGTGTTTTACATTTATTGATTTGAAAACAAATTATTTACATTTAACAAGACATATTTCCTTGAAAGCCAAATACCACCTTCAGTTTCTCATCCCCTGAGAAGTCAAGATTCTATTCCTAAATCAATTCAGTCAAATACTGCAAGAAGCCAAAGTGGTTGGAGGTGAGTCTACTTAAAATTTGTCTTCTATTCTTTTTGTCTTTTCTCTCTCCTCCTCTTTCCCCCCTCCTTTTACTTTTCCTAATTTTTTAGATAGAATTTCATTTAGGAGATTTCTATGTTAGTAACTATGGACATTCTCATTGTACTTTTAAATCATCTCTAGATTATATACAAAACTAATATAATATTAATTCTGTGTAAATAGTTGTCATACTATATTGTTTAAGAAATAATGACAAGGAAAAAGTCTGTATTTATTTAGTACAGATGTTATTTTTTCCAAATATTTTTGAGCTGTGGTTGGTTGAATCTGTAGATGTGGAGATCTATGAGTACAGATGGCTGACTGTTCTCTGCTTTTCTATACATATTTACCTTTGCCAGTGAGTTTCATATATGTAATCTCAAATTGCTTTTTAGCATCTTTCTGTTTCAACTTGAAGAACTCTAGTATTTCTTGTAATATATAACCTGTTGAGATCTTTCAGTTCCTTGGCAATTGCTGGTAATGTAACCTAAGCTTAATAAATACTTGTGAACCAGATGTTTCCACATTTACAGGCATTTGGTGAAGGGAGAAGAGAATTTTAGTTTCTTTCTCTTAAAACTAGCATGTTGTCTTTTATTTTGTATCAGTGTGCTTCTCTACTCCAGTAGCTTCCATTCTCTTTAATGATTTTGGCTTTGAACCTAAGTTCTAACTTCTCTAAGGTTTCTAGTCTCACTTCTCCAATAATTATGTCCAGCAATTTGCAGAATTTTCATAATTTTTAAATATGTTACACATATTCTCTTGGAGAATGTTAGAACAGTATGTATTATAAAATTTACAGTATAAATTTTAGAAAATGTTAAAATAATACACATGAATTTTTGGTTGATTTTTCATGATGTTTTATGGTAGTTTAAGGAGCTTTTATTTTCTGGCTACTCTGAATTGTGAGTGATTGAGTATAGTTCAGTAGGTTATTCAAAGTGTAGGAGGTTTATTTAGAATAGCAATCATCAAAAACACAAATAATAATAAATGTTGGCAAGGATATGGTGAAAAAGGAACTCTGTTGGTGGGATTGTAAATTAGTACAATCACCATGGAAATCAGTATGGAGTTTCCTCGAAAGACTGGGAATGAAACTACTATATGGACTGGGGTTTTGGCTCAGCGGTAGAGCACTCGCCTGGCAAGTGTGGGGCCCTGGGTTTGATCCTCAGCACCATATAAAAAATAAATAAATAAATAAAATAAAGGTATTGTGTACAACTACAACAAAAAATAAATATTAAAAAAAGAAACTACCATATTACCCAACTCTACCTTTCCTCAGTATTTATCGAAAAAACTAGAGTCAGCATACTGTAGTGATACATGCATACACATGTTCATAGCAGTGTAATTCACAATAGCCAAGTTATGGGAACTAGCTTAGGTATCTGTCACCAGAAGAATGGAAAAAGAAAATGTGGGATTTGTACACACTGGAGTTTTACTCAGCCATAAAGAAGAATGAAATTATATCATTTACAGGAAATGGATGGAACTTGGGAGCATTATGTTAATCAAAATAAATCATGCTCAGAAAGTCAAAGGGTCATGTTTTCTCTCATGTGTAAACTAGAGAGAAAAAAGGAAAAGAAAAACAAAAGGTAGAAGGAGCTCATGAAATTAAAAAGGAGATCAGTAGAGTAGAGAAAGGGGATCAGGGGGAGGGAGGAGGGAGGAAAATAGAGATACTGGGGAATTAAATTATGTTATGTGCATGTATAATATGCCACAAAGTATATCCCATTAGGGTCATCCACTATATTCTGATGATACATCTGGGGCTACAGGCCCTGGGTAGTGGGTGGCCAGTCCTACTTTTACATCCATATGGACTCAGCAACAGCTTGCTGTTGGGGATTTTGTTGACTATCTGGACCTATATTTTCTTCAACAAGAATGATTCAGGGGAGATGCTGCTACTTCCCTGCTTAGAAGCCCCTGCAACTTGGACTTTATGGTCTGGTTGGGGTGTTGAGGACATGGCTGAGTTGGATTGACTTCTGAGACACCATCTCTGTGTGGGCCCACTGCAAAGGTGAAAGGACTGTAGTTCTCTCAGGGATAGTTCCCAGGCTAGTAATATCTTAATGAGTAAAAATGTTGCTAATGTTAGATGTACTATTAAATAGTTGTGAAGCTAAAAGAAATCTTTCTAGACTATAAATAATAAAAATAATTTGAATAGCCATGAGAGAGGAAAGACAAAATTGTATTTCTGTACTCTCTACTGAAATAAAGTAACAAAATTGTTGTCATAGGAAAAGGAGGGGATCATTGTTGGAAAAAAGTCTTGAGTGTCAGGCAGTTAATAAATAATAATCCTAGTCATATTTTTCTTGGATATTATAATGTTTATGGTATAACTTAAATTTTTTAATTGTGATTTTTTTATTCCATCTTGTTCATATTTAATTTTGCACTTAATTTATTTAACTGTACTTTCCAAATTATTCAAGCTTCGGGTTCTAGAAAACCTAGATTTTTTTATATTACTAGAAAATCTAGACCTTCTTTTGGATTATTTTCTTAAACAAGAGATGGGTTGTATTGATTGTCTTCTTGTAATAATACTGGTGATATTTCCAGGAAAATTATTCAGAATTAAGAACTTGTGACTTGCACTAGCTTTTTCCTTTGGAACTTTAATGTTTAGAAAACACCCTTCTGATTTTAGCCTCATTAACAACATGTTCTGATCAACTGCTACAACTCCATTTAGATTAATGTAGTTAGTAAATACTATAACAGATTGATTAGTATGGCTTTTTAGATACACAGTAAAAGCACAAAATATCTAATTAGAGCTATCTACCCTGTGTATATTCATTTTGCTTGTGATTTAAAATCATTGATAAACCATGGCTTAACTTTAAAAATTTACTTTGTAGTAATTTAAAAATAAATGTATAAAGAATTAATAAGCAAAATCTTTCCACTTGGAGACAACCACTGTCACTTAAAGGCTGGCATAGTTTAAAAATATATGGTGTAGGTTTCTCTTGGTTCTAAACTTGTTAGTAACTTGATATATGACTTTGGGTACACTATTTCCTCACTAAGACTCTTTGTCCTCATCGGGAAAGAGAGGTAATTTATTGTAGAGTTGTCGCAATGATGTGTTTGGAATTTCAAACTAGTTAGTTACAAAGTAGTTTGTAAACTAGGAATTGCCATATAAATAAAATTTTTATGATTGTCTTTTAAAAAAGTATAAAGAAATAAATGTTTTTCCTTTTTCCCTTCTTTTTCTTTTTTCCTATTATATCTACAGAGATGACAACAAAAATACCAGCTTGAAAACTTGGGATAAAAATGACTTTAGACCTCAATGTAAAACAACAAAACTAGTGACAAATGATGGAAAAAATTCTTTTCCAGTGAATTTGGGAACTCAGATACCACAGAAACAATTAAGGGTATCTGAAACTCCTAATTTATCTTATCACAGAGAAACTGAGGTTCCCAGACAAATGTGTTCATCAAAAGTTTCTGGCTCCACAATAAAAGGCCCAGATAAAAACAGTGAATTACAGACATTTAAGCCCAATTTTCAACAAAATCAATTTAAGAAAAAAATGTTGGATGATATTCCAGAAGAAAACACTCTGAAGGTAAACATTTAAATATTAAAGAATGAATGAATGACTTATTTTTATTTTTAAAATGTGAAGTAAATAGCTATTTAGAAAGTTATAGAGGTAAGAATATTTGAAATCAGTCCCCTAGTATATGTTACTTGATTAGCATAAATATCCAGTTCCATTGGAGGGATGAATATTAGTTTGTAAAATATTTTCTTAGCAGGTAACTGCTCTTTTTCATAAATGCTTCAGAGTTTCCTAGTGGATTCGGTGTTTCACTGCTTACTGATTATTAGCATAACAATTTATTCTTTGCTTTCAGAAATTATCCAACTCTGTTTATCATTCTTACATATTTTTCCCCAACAGAGAACAGAAACATTTTTCTGTAAAGGGCCAAATAATAAGTATTTTTGGCTTCATGGGCCACACTATCTCTGTTGCAATTACACAACGATGTTACTCAACTCTGGCACAGCCATAGACAGTATTTAAATGAATGGGCATGTCAGTGTTCCAGTATAAGTGTAAAGAAACATCAAAGATTAGATTTGGAGTACAGGCCATTGTTTGCTGATTTTTGTTTTATCATCTGGACCTATTCTACTTTACCAACCTCAGTATTTCACATTCCGCTAATTCTTCAATGTGCTAGTCATTCCAAACTCTGCACAGTTCTCCAAACAAACATGGCATGCATTCTAATTAATCCCTGCTTTGGTTTGTATTCTCTATATCTGTACCTCAGCTTCATATTCTCTTTATGCACAGTATTCTACTTATTTTTATAAATGTCTTCTATATAGTGTGTGTGCTGGTTATTCTTCCCTTTCTCACTCCCCTGGCCCATTGGATTCTTTATCTCTTCTTCTCTGTACCTTAGAAGGCTGAATCATCTACATAGTACCTCATCCTGGGATTCTTTTACCTGCTGGCTTTTGCTAAAGATCGCCCAATGGGAGTCATTGGGAGGACATCAAAGGGTGGGTGGAGAGGTTGTGTTTTCCCATTTTTCTCCCTACTTAAATGTTGTACTGATGGAAGTGGCTGTGTCCCTACATGACATAGTCTTTTCAGGAGTCTAGCTTTCATGGATTGGATAATTTTATTTCTTTCCTTGTTCTTTCAGCCTGGGAGTGGTAATAATTTCATACTATTGTTAGTTTTGGGTGCTTAAGTTTGTTTTAGTCCATATATCTGTAAAAACAGTCTTTTCAGTAAGCCATCAGGGTAAATTCTGCTTTTCGAAAGAAAAGAGGCTCTCTGGAAACCAGTATAGCATGAGACCAATATAGCATGTTTTATAGTGATTCTCAACTTTGTGATTCCTTGTACATAAATGATATGACATAGTCAACTTAGTAACAGTGACATTAATCTTCAACTGTAGTTTTATTAGAATTGTTGTTAGGAGGAAGAAAAGGGGCAAAGTAATTGTATTTTTTTAAAAAGAGTCCCATCAGGTGTTCTTACAAAACTCATCCTGACAAAATTGTCCCCACCCCACCTGAGCTGGGAAGATGAGGTCCAGGAAGAAGCAGTCCATGGAGAGAGGTGCTGTCTGCTAGGAGATAGAACTCAGGAGGAGATGCAGCCATATGCAAGCTTTTGGAAGATAGTTTATTGGAATTAGGGTAATTCATGGCTTTGTATTTGCCAAATTCACATGAAAAGAACATTATGGAGAGAATTGTGGCCAGTGTTTTATCTCAGAAATAACTAGCGCCTTTTTTCATGATTTCTCTAGTCCCTGAGAAACTATGAGGGCTCAGCTGGTCTGTTAATCTATAGGACATTTTTATGACAATTAAAATATCACTCTAAGGAGGGTCTTTTGTTCCACTGTCAGGTTTTATTAGGCTAGTATAAGCTAATAAAACATAATAAAATTATACAGCTCATATTACATTTAAAACATAGATTTGTAACACTTAAGGCTATACCCAGAAAATATACTGGACTTTGGTGTCAACCAAACAAAATTAATCACACAGATCCTTAATATGTGATTATAATTTTTCCCTAAGTGTAAGTTTCTTTGTTTGAACCACTTAACAAGTTTCATCCTCCACAACATGATGAAAATTTTAACAGCAACTAAAATTCATTTTATATTCTTTTGTCAGACACTTGCAATGGTTGAATATAAGTAAATCTAACTCCTTTCAAAAAAAAATTGTCCCCACCCTTAAAAATTAGTATCTTACATTGTATTCTTAGTTTGATCTGTAAAAATGCTAAACACATTTCTACCTTAGGGTCTTTACACTTGCTATTCTCTCTGACCCACTTCACCATCCACTAAAAATAATAATCTCTCTCTTTGTCCTTTTATCTTGTTTTTAAAAAATACATAGAATATATCAATTCTTAATGTTCTGTTATGTATTTATTTATTGTATGAATCCCCTTTTAGATTATAAAATATGTGAAGGCTGATATCTTGTTAGTTTTGTTCATTATTGCTTCCTTAAAAGCTATGTTTGGCACATGGTAGGTGCCCAGTTAACACTTTTGAAGTGAATCAGTGAATGTGTCTGATTCACCTCCTTGTGTGGAGCACATTGGAGAAAGTGTTTTACTCACAGGTCTATCATAGGATGTGGCACATGATGCTTATTGAATGAATGAACAAATGAATGAGTGGATGAGTGCTGTATAAATGATTCTCTTCTTGATTGCCTCTGAGTGCATCCTGGTTTATCCTTCTATAATATACTAATGATGGTTTTAATTTGGGGAAGTAATTGTATTGAAACTTTTAGTAGTTCTTTTTACATATTTACTTATATAGACCTAGAATCTTTACATAGAAGGTAAAAGTATATGAAGAGAAATAGAAAGATTTTTCTAATGTTATGTTTTTATTTTTCAAAAGGAAGCCTCATGTCGGTTACAGTTTAAGGAAAAAAATAATTCTCTAAGAATTATTTCTGCAGTTATTGAAAGCATGAAGTATTGGTGTGAACATGCAAAGAAAACTGTACTTCTTTTTGAGGTGTTGGGTAAGTATAATACTTTAAAAATATGTCAGGTCATACTATCTGGACAAGTTTTTAATATTGATAGGAATATCTAAGGGATCTTGAAGAAAAAAATTTTGTGAAAGGAAAATATGTTTTATTAGAATTTTTTAAGTTCTTGATTGGGTGTGTCATTGATTTGTATGAGTTAAGTATTTGTGGCAGTATTCTTCTGATTTATAGTGTTATAATTGAAAAGACATTTGCATGTAATCTATCCTCTTGAGTTATATGAGGAAATTGGGCAAATAATTAAAATAGACTTGATTAAAATTATGAAGCTAGTTAGCAGCAGAAATTAGTCTAGAATCAAAAACAGCATACTAATGGAGCACAGCCACATCAGTGTTTATAGCAGCACAATTCACAATAGCTAAACTGTGGAACCAACCTAGATGCCCCTCAGTAGATGAGTATATAAAGAAAATGTGATATATATATATATATATATACATACACACACACACACACACACACACACACATATACACATACACACACACAATGGAACATTACTGAGCAACAAAAGAGAATAAAATCATGGCATTTGCAGATAAATGGATGGCCTTGGAGAAAATAATGCTAAGTGAAGTTAGCCAATCCAAAAAACCAAATGCTGAATGTTTTCTCTGATATAAGGAGGCTGATTCATAGTGGGGTTGGGGGGGGCATGGGAGGATTTGACGAACCCTAGATAGGGCAAAGAGGTGGAAGGGTAAGGGAGGGGTCATGGGAGTAAAAAAGATGGTGGAATGAGATGGATATCATTATCCTAAATACATGTATGAAGACACAAATGGTGTGAATATACTTTATTTACAACTAGAGATATGAGAAATTGTGTTGTATATGTGTAATATGAATTGTAATGCTTCTGCTATCATATATAACAAATTAGAATAAAAACAAATTTTAAAAAAAGAATCTAGAATCTGAATCTCCTTATTCTAAATCTAGCATTTGGAGCAAAGCTCATCCAAATATAAATTAAATCATATTTGAAATACCCTGAAAGAACATTAAGAATACTGATAAGAATAACCACCCTATAACTAATCTGTTTTCTAAATTAGCATTTAAAAGTAGGTGAGTTTTGTAGAATGTTTCTGGAACTTGATCTTACCTAGAATGAAGAGATAAACAAGTAAGATTTGAGATTCAAAACATATTTATTTCCATTATTTAAATTTAATAATAGTATTTATTTAAATTACAAAATAATCCAAACATATGGAAATGTACAGAGAATATAATAAATATCCATATGACCATGTCATAGGTATATTTGATGCCCCTGTATATTTGCCTCTCTAGAGAGAGCTACTGTAGTATCTTTTATGCCCATGATTTTTATCATTTTATAGTATACATTTGATTCCATAAGCTTATATTTTTGGTTTATGTATTACAGAAATACAAAGCTTGCATTTTCAGCCAGTATACTTTTTGAGATTTAGATATGGTGTTTCTTCATTGTTTTAACTTCTATCTTGGGTAGTTCTTTCCCTCTGAAATAAAAGTCTTATTTCTGCTGCTCCCTGAAGTATATTCAAAGAATTGCAGTTTTCATAATAGTAATGACAATTGCAGATTTAATAATATCTATGGTAGACAGACTGTTGGCACCTCAGATGTCTGTGTCCGAATTCCCAAAGCCTACGAATATTACCTTATGTGGTTGAGGGACTTGGATGATATGGTTAAATTAAGGATCTCAAAGTGGGAAGATTATCTTGGAAATCTTGGTGGGCCCGACATAGTTACAAGGGAAGCAGGAAGGTCAGAGTCAGGGAAAGATTGGAATATATTATCCTGCCAGCTTTGAGTTAGAGGAAAGAGTCATAATTCAAAGAATGCAGTGTCTAGAAGCTTTCAAAAGGAACACGACCTTGCCTGACCTGTTTTAGATTTACACCACATTGTCACATTTTTAGATGAATTTCTTTTGGTTGCTCTTTCCCAGAAATAAACTAATGGACTTTTGGGTATCATTATTTCTGAATGGTAACATACCCATCACTGAAACCCTGATCTGTGTATCTGGGGAATGGAATATGCTTTGGCTTAAGTCACAGGTCACCCCTGGATCTGTGGGTGAGAACAAAGCTCACCCACATCTAAAAACAGAATAGATGTGGTTTCCAATAGAGGTTTCCTAAAGGAAAATCTGGATCTTATTAGGATAAATGTAAGTGAACCTCAAAATATCAAATGCCTACTACTAGTACTTAGTAGATGTTTACTGAAGGAATAAACAATGTAATTTGATAAAAATTTCTGAAGATAAGCATGGATTAGTATTTGTATTTTACAGGTAAAGAAATAGCTTTGTAAAGAGGTTGAACAGTTTGCTCAAGGGGAAGGAAATGGGGAGATATAGGTAAAAGGGTACAGATTTTCAGTGTTGTAGGGTAAACTTAGAGATCTAATTAATGTATTCATGGAGGACTATAGTTAATATATTGTATGTTGAAAAATTGAAGAGAATAGATCTTAGGTGCTCTTTCCACATGAAAAAAGGTAACTATGGAAGGTGATGGATATGTTAATTTGCTTATCTGTACTAATTATTTCACATTTTCAGTACCGTATATGTATGTATCTTGTTATATACCCTAAATAATACATTAAAAATAAATTTAAAAACCAATTTCTTGAAGTTACAAAATATTAGTAAGTTGAAGAACTGGGACTGGAATGCATGACTTCTGATTATAATTCAGTGTTTTTACATTAAGCTGTCATGCTTATTATAATAATGTACTTATTATTATAATACAGTAGACTGGTCTGGGAATTTAACCACTATAGAGAACACGGTCTATGGAAAAAGTTTCAGATGGCCCACCATTGCCAATTGTACGAACTTGATATATAATCTGTTTCTAAATAAGAAAGGGCTCAAATATTTTCTTTTCCATAAAATTGTTTCAGAAATATCATTCCTTTTAAAAATGTCTTCTTTATTACTATAAATAGAACTTTAAGAGGTTGATGTGGGAGTTATTTAAACATAACTTTTTGTTACATTTTATTTTATTTATTTGCATTTCTAATGTTGATTTTCCCCCTTATTTCAATGTGGTTTAGCTGTACTCGATTCGGCTGTTACACCTGGCCCATATTATTCAAAGAATTTTCTTATGAGAGATGGGAAAAATACTCTGCCTTGTGTATTTTATGAAATCGTGAGTATTTTTTAAAGCATTCTTTGCAAAGACCATGCCAACAAAACAAAAAATGCAGGCTGTGATTTCAGTGTATTAGAAATTCAATTTGTTTAGTACTTGAAACATTTTGTTTGCTTGTAGTTCAGATATTAAAGTTATTTACTTAATCTGGAGAGCTTCCTATGTGTCAAGCACTGCATTGGGTGCAAAAGATATAATGTGAAATATAGTGATAAATGGCTCCTTCTCTTAAAGAATTTCTAATTTCAAATAGAAAGACAAATACATAAATGTTATAATGTTATATGATAGAGGTATAAGAAGGGTGCTACAGATGTAGATAAGAAGAGTGGGCCAGATCACAGAAGGATGTTCAAAGAGATCATCACCTGTATTATCTTAGATATTTAAGAACCCATAAGAGCCAAATAAGCCCAAGTGTTGGTAGGGCAATAGGTGGGGAAGATTCATTTTAAGGTGAGGGGGCAACATATGGCAAGACATGAAGCTAAGAGAAAGTCTGACTTGTTCAGGGAGCTGCAAGTAATATATAATTACTACAATGAGAAATTAGAAAGTGAAGGGGTTGGAGGTATGGGATTCTGAAGTTAAAGCAGGAGTGGCTTGGGATATAAGCAAAGGCTAGGTAACAAAGGCTAGAGATCCCAAAGGAGGCGGGAGACCTTTTAAGACCTACATGTTTTATGAAAGGTATTGATTTTAATTCTGAAATTGGCCTCAATTCTGAAATCACACTTGGATTCCAATGTTTAGTATACTTCAGTATTTACCAGCCTTATGACATAAGTAAGCTGCTCAAACTATTTGAGCTTCAGGTTTTTAAATATCTGCAAATGGGGAGATGAATTCCTGCTTTGAAAAGTTGTTGTGAGATGAAATGATAAAACAAATGCACAGTGCCTGACACACAGTAGGTGATCAAGAAATAGTAATTGTCATGTTAATTATTTTAATATCTTGGATGTTTATTTTTTCCAGTGTAAGTATTTTTTAAAACCGTTATTGAACTATAACATATACAGAAAAGTACACTATTTCTAACTGTATAGTGATATGAAGCATCAAAGTGAACACTTCCCAAGTTAAGAAGTAAAATGTTGTTGTCATCTCTGAAGCCCCATTGAACTTCTTCCCATAAATTGTATCATATGGTATATCTTTTGAAAAATGTGTGGTATCACTCAACACAATGTAGGATTCATCTATGTTATTGCATGCAGCTATAGTTCATTCATTTATGTTGCTACATATTTGGTTATGCAAATATTCCACAATTTGGAATTTTATTTTATTGTTGATGGACATTTGGGCTAGTTAAAGAGTTTTTTTGCCGTTATGAATAATAAGCATAATGAATATGAACTTTTTTGTATATATTTCTTGTGCATATGCATGCATTTCTGTTTGGTGTATCTGTAGAAGTAAAATTGCCACGTTATAGAGCTAATATAGTGGTTATTGCCAAAGGATTTTCCAAGGATTGTATCAGTTCATACACCAACAAGGAGTGTAGGAGAGTCATGGTTTCTCTGCATTCTGTTTTTTTGTGTGTGGTGCTGGGGATTGAACAAGGCAACACTATACCAACTGAGCTATATCCCCAACCCCTCTCTGCATTCTTATCAACAGTTAGTATTGTCTTTTTTATTGTAGCCTTTCTGAGCAAGTTAAATGTTCCCTCATTTCTCTGCCTGGTGACCAGTGTTGCTGAGCACGATTTCATATGTTTATTGGCCATTTAGATAACTTCTTTTGTAAAGTCTGTTAGGTCTCTTGCTTTTTTTCCAATTGAATTACTGGTCTTTTTCTTATTGATTTATGGGATTTTTTTGAAAAGCTGTTCTAGGCACAAACTTTTTGTTAATATTTACTTCAAATATTTTTCTCATATTCCATGGTTTGCTTTTTCACTTTTAATGGTGGCTTTAATGGAGGGAAATTCTTCATTTTATTGTAGTCCATTTTAAAAATCATCAAGTCTTTTCCTCTGTTTTAAGTCATAACCTTTTAGTGAAAGAAGTTTCTGAATGCTTTAGTTTTATTCATGATTGAGGGGGTTTAGAGATTTCTGGTCTTTTATTCTGATTAATTAGTTCCCTTAAATGTGTAGCTTTGTTTTGGTTCCAACCCTAAACCTGGGGTGGGGTGGGAGTGATTGCTAGAATCTCTTTTCTTGGGATCATCAGACTCCATTTTTTGTTTTCCCAGCTCTAAGACTGTTAAAAATCTCCGCTCACTTCTTAGATTCTAAATTACCTTTCTGTAATGGCAGATATCTTAAGGGAGAATGCATCCCCAAATCAGGCTTCATCTTGAACTTTCATGCTGTCCAGATGAGGTTTATATAACTCCTCACTGCTTTGATATGTCTGATGCCTATGCAGGGGATTTTAAACATTTTTTTTAGTACAGCTATTCTACTTCTCAGCTGGTAGTTAGTTGATATGAACCACCTTTTTTCTGCCATGTACTGAAAGTGGAACTCTTGACAGTCTGACAGAAGAATGGATAATTTATGTGCCATTACATTAAGAATTATTAAGTTATTTAATAAGCAGCATCTTGCTCTATCTTGTAAGAAGCCCTGTCCAAGTTCATGTCTTTACTCTGTGACAGGGCATCCATATATGACTAATTGTCATAGACTTTGTCAGCAGTGGGGCCCTGACTCAGGTGAGGAAAGTATAATATTTGGGGTGATTATTTCTAGTTGTTACATTATTTGTTAAAAAATTAAAATTTAGATGAAGTAACAAGTTTTAAAAAATATTTATGTTTTGAGAAACAGGATCGTGAACTTCCAAGACTGATTAGAGGCCGAGTTCATAGGTGTATTGGAAACTATGACCAGAAAAAGAACATTTTCAAATGTGTTTCTGTCAGACCAGCATCAGTTTCTGAACAAAAAACTTTCCAGACATTTGTTGAAATTGTAGATGCTGAGATGAGTTATTATACTAAAGTAATGAATGAAATTTAGATAGTATAAATTAAAGCATTTTCTGATATTGTTTAATTTATTGTTTGTATAGTTATGGAGCTACTGTGTTTCTGTGTTTTACTTCTTGAATTAAAATGTTTAAATCCTTTTAAAAACGTGGAAATAGTTTTTGAAAGATGGGATGTATTTACTAAAATTCAGTGACCATTTTAGATAAAAATGCCCACTATAATAAAAATAGATGGATACTTTCTCAACATGGGATAATAATATATCTGAGGCAGCCCAAAAGCCAGTGTCTCACTGAAGGGGGATCACTGAAGGCATTGTGACTATCAGTACCATTCTTCTTAAGTACTATTATTAAACATTGTTCTGGAACTGCTGGTTTGTGTGGTTCATTTAATTACTTCATTTTTTAAATTTCAAGAACAGCATTTTATTCTTCTGGTGTATAAAATACGAGGAAAAAGTTAAATCAAGGACTTAAAAGATGCTTGCTTAATATAGTTTTAAACTATAAAATTATTTCTCTGGAGGCAACTAACCTTACATAGCTTCAATCACAGTTCAACAGAGATACCAAGAAACACATCCTGTGTTCCTTTTCCTTGGTATCAATTTATTTCATTTCATTCTATTCCTTCTATTCTGTATCTTATATCACTTTCCTTTCTTCTTTCCCAACCCTCTTTCTGCCTTTTGGACAGGCTATTGCAGTCAGATCCCAGTTGGTGTCTTTCCTTGGTGTGTAGGATAGATGAAGAGATATGGACTAGTGATATCTCCTAAAACGTTTTTTTTATATTAGTTGTTCAAAACATTACATAGCTCTTGACATATCATATTTCATACATTTGATTCAAGTGGGTTATGAACTCCCATTTTTCCCCTGTATACAGATTGCAGAATCACATCGGTTACACATCCACGTATCTACATACTGCCATACTATTGTCTGTTGTATTCTGCTATCTTTCCTATCCTCTACTATCCCCCCTCCCCTCCCCTCCCATCTTCTCCCTCTACCCCATCTACTGTAATTCATTTCTCTCCTTGTTTTTTCCCCTTTCCCTTTACCTCCTCTTATATGTAATTTTGTATAACGATGAGGGTCTCCTTCCATTTACATGCAATTTCCTTTCTTTCTCCCTTTCCCTCACACCTCTCATCCCTGTTTAATGTTAATCTTCTTCTCATGCTCTTCCTCCCTGCTCTGTTCTTAGTTGCTCTCCTTATATCAAAGATGACATTTGGCATTTATTTTTTAGGGATTGGTTAGCTTCACTTAGCATAATCTGCTCTAGTGCCATCCATTTCCCTGCAAATTCCATGATTTTGTCATTTTTTAGTGCTGAGTAGTACTCCATTGTGTATAAATGCCACCTTTTTTTATCCATTCATCTATTGAAGGGCATCTAGGTTGGTTCCACAGTCTAGCTATTGTGAATTGTGCTGCTATGAACATCGATGTAGCAGTATCCCTATAGTCTGCTCTTTTAAGGTCTTTAGGGAATAGTCCAAGAAGGGGAATAGCTGGGTCAAATGGTGGTTCTATTCCCAGCTTTCCAAGGAATCTCCATACTGCTTTCCACATTGGCCGCACCAATTTGCAGTCCCATCAGCAATGAACAAGTGTACCCTTTTCCCCACATCCTCGCCAGCACTTATTGTTGTTTGACTTCATAATGGCTACCAATCTTACTGGGGTGAGATGGTATCTTAGGGAGGTTTTGATTTGCATTTCTCTGATTGCTAGAGATGGTGAGCATTTTTTCATGTACTTGTTGATTGATTGTATGTCCTCCTCTGAGAAGTGTCTGTTCAGGTCCTTGGCCCATTTGTTGATTGGGTTATTTGTTATCATATTGTTTAATTTTTTGAGTTCTTTGTATACTCTGGATATTAGGGCTCTATCTGAAGTGTGAGGAGGAAAAATTTGTTCCCAGGATGTAGGCTCCCTATTTACCTCTCTTATTGTTTCTCTTGCTGAGAAAAAACTTTTTAGTTTACGTTGTTTTTGTTGATTCTTGTTATTAACTCTTGTGCTATGGGTGTCCTATTAAGGAATTTGGAGCCCGACCCCACAATATGTAGATTGGAGCCAACTTTTTCTTCTATCAGACGCAGAGTCTCTGATTTGGTATCAAGCTCTTTGATCCATTTTGAGTTAAATTTGTGCATGGTGAGAGAAAGGGATTCAGTTTCATTTAGTTGCATATGGGTTTCCAGTTTTCCCAGCACCATTTGTTGAAGATGCTATCCTTCCTCCATTGCATGCTTTTAGCCCCTTTATCAAATATAAGATAGTTTTAACTTTGTGGATTAGTCTCTGTGTCCTCTATTCTGTACCATTGGTCCACCCGCCTGTTTTGGTACCAGTACCATGCTGTTTTTGTTACTATTGCTCTGTAGTATAGTTTGAAATCTGGTATCACTATGCCGCCTGATTCACACTTCCTGCTTAGAATTGCTTTTGCTATTCTGGGTCTTTTATTTTTCCATATGAATTTCATGATTGCTTTATCTATTTCTATAAGAAATGCCGTTGGGATTTTGATTGGCATTGAGTTAAACCTATAGAGAACTTTTGGTAATATCGCCATTTTGATGATGTTAGTTCTGCCTATCCATGAACAGGGTATATTTTTCCATCTTCTAAGATCTTCTTCTATTTCTCTCTTTAGGGTTTTGTAGTTTTCATTGTATAAATCTTTCGCCTCTTTTGTTAGGTTGATTCCCAAGTATTTTTTTTTTTTGAGGATATTGTGAATGGAGTGGTTGTCCTCATTTCCATTTCAGAAGATTTGCCGCTGATATACAGGAATGCCTTTGATTTATGTGTGTTGATTATATATCCTGCCACTTTGCTGAATTCATTTATTAGCTCTAGTAGTTTCTTTGTAGACCCTTTTGGGTCTGTTAGGTATAGAATCATGTCATCCCCAAATAGTGATAATTTAAGTTCCTCTTTTCCTATCTTTATGCCTTTAATTTCTTTTGTCTGTCTAATTGCTCTGGCTAGTATTTCGAGAACTAAATTGAATAGAAGTGGTGAGAGAGGGCATCCCTGTCTTGTTGCAGATTTTAGAGGGAATGCCTTCAGTTTTTCTCCATTTAGAATGATGCTAGCCTGAGGCTTAGCATATGTAGCTTTTACAATGTTGAGGTAAGTTCCTGTTATCCCTAGTTTTTCTAATGTTGTGAACATAAGGGGATGCTTTGTCAAATGCTTTCTCTGCCTCTATTGAGATGATCATGTGGTTCTTATCGTTAAGTCTATTGATGTGGTGAATAACATTTATTGATTTCCGTATATTGAACCAGCCTTGCATCCCATTGATGAATCCTATTTGATCTTGGTGTACAATTTTTTTGATATGCTTTTGTATTCGATTCGCCAGAATTTTATTGAGGATTTTTGCATCTAAGTTCATTAGTGATATTGGTCTGTAGTTTTCTTTCTTTGAAGTGTCTTTGTCTGGTTTCGGGATCAGGGTCATGTTGGCCTCATAGAATGAATTTGGAAGAGCTCCTTCTTTTTTTATTTCTTGAAATAACTTGAAAAGTATTGGTATTAATTCTTCTTTGAAGGTTTTGTAAAACTCTGCTGTATACCCATCCGGTCCAGGGCTTTTCTTGGTTCGTAGTCTTTTGATGGCTTCTTGTATTTCCTCCTTTGTTATTGGTCTGTTTAAATTGTGTGTATCTTTCTGACTCAATCTGGGCAAATCATATGAGTTATGAAATTTATCCATATCTTCACTATCTTCTATTTTATTGGAATATAGGATTTCAAAATAATTTCTAATTATCTTCTGTATTTCTGTAGTGTCCGTTGTGATATTGCCTTTTTCATCCCGTATGTTAGTAATTTGAGTTCTCTCTCTTCTTCTCTTCATTAGCATGGCTAAGGGTCTGTCAATCTTATCTATTTTTTCGAAGAACCAACTTTTAGTTTTATCAATTTTTCAATGGTTTTTTTGGTTTCAATTTCATTGATTTCCGCTCTGATTTTAATTATTTCTTGCCTTCTACTACATTTGCTGTTGTTTTGCTCTTCCTTTTCTAGGGTTTTGAGATGAAGTGTGAGCTCATTTATTTGTTGGTTTTTTCTTTTTTTGAGGAATGAACTCCAGGCAGTGAATTTCCCTCTTAAAACTGCTTTCATTGTGTCCCATAGATTCCGATATATTGTGTCTGTATTTTCATTTATCTCTAAGAATTTTTTGATTTCCTCCTTTATGTCTTCTGTAACCCATTGATCATTCAGTAACATATTGTTCATTTTCCAGGTGATGCAGGATTTTTCCTTTCTTCTTTTATCATTGATTTCCAGTTTCATTCCATTATGATCAGATAAGATGCATGGTATTATCTCCACACCTTTGTATTTACTAAGGGTTGCCCTATGGCATAATATATAGTCTATATTTGAGAAGGATCCGTGTGCTGCTGAGAAGAACGTGTATCCACTTGATGATGGTTGATATATTCTATATATGTCGGTTAAGTCTAGGTTATTGATTGTGTTATTGAGTTGTATAGTTTCTTTATTCAACTTTTGTCTGGAGGATCTGTCCAATGGAGAGAGCGGCTCGTTGAAGTCACCCATAATTATTGTGTTGTGGTCTATTTGACTCTTGAACTTGAGGAGAGTTTGTTTTATGAACGTTGTAGCACCATTATTTGGTGCATACATATTGATAATTGTTATGTCTTGTTGGTGAATGGTTCCTTTTAACAGTATATAGTGTCCTTCTTTATCCTTTTTGATTAAATTAGGTTTGAAGTTGATTTTATTCGATATGAGTATGGCCACTCCCTCTTGCTTCTGAGGACCATATGAGTGGTATTATTTTTCCCAACCTTTCACCTTCAGCCTGTGTATGTCTTTTCCTATCATATGAGTCTCCTGAAGGCAGCATATTGTTGGATCTGTTTTTTTAGTCCAGGTTACTAGCCTATGTCTCTTGATTGGTGAGTTTAAACCATTAATGTTTAGGGTTACTATTGATATATGGTTTGTACTTCCAGTC